CCGACTCCGAGTCCGACGACGAGGACTTCGACGCCGAGCTCGACGACAGCAGCGACGACTTCGAGTCGGAGCCGGAGGACTCCGACTCGTCCGAGGAGGAGGACGACTCCGACTCCGGCATACCCGCGCTCTAGGCGAGCGCGACGCGAGTAATCGCGGATGTCTGAAACGAACGCGCGCGAGAGTGATCTCCCGCCGAGGTCGGCGACGGACATGGTCCGCCAGTAGACGCTGACGGTGAGGTGCCCGCCGCTGCCGTCGCACGTGCTCACGTACCGGAGGCGTAGCCCCGGCGACTTCGGCGCGCGCTCGTAGCGGACGGCCCGCAGGCGCAGCTGCTTCGAGAACGAGTGGCGGAACCTCGGGATCTCCGCCCAGTTGTACCACGACGTGTCGTCGGAGTCGCGGTCCTCGGGCGGCGGCGGCTGCACGCGGACCGTAAAAACCAGATTCTGCTTCTCCTCCTCGTCGTAGCGGATGTCGTCGACCTGCCAGACCGCGCCGTCGTCGTCGAAGAACTTGCCCACCCACTCGAGCTGCGTCTTGTTCGGCTTCGGGCAGCCGGGCGGCCGCGTGACCGCGTCGTCCTTCGCGTCGGCCGTCTCGGGCTCCGTAGGCTCCTCCAGGGGCGTCGACCCGTCGAAGACATCGTGCCCGACGACGGTATTGAGCGTCCAGGCCACGCACTCGTCCGCGTCGTCGGCCCGTTCGGGATCCTCGAATCCGACCTCCGTCGACTCGCTTCCGTCGAGCAGGCTCGCCTTCACGCCCACGTTCCAGAGCGAGCCCAGGGCTCCGGTCACGTCCTCGAGCTGCGCGTCGCTCGTCAGGTTGATCGTCTGGATCGTCGTAGAGGCGCCGCGCCGGACGTTCATGACGTCGTCGGGACGGAGAGACCACTTTTTGCTCTCTCCGCTCGACTCCACGCAGCGCGTGAGGGCCGCGCCGCCGTCGTCCGCGCAGCCGACGAGGCGCTTGATGATGTCCCAGTCCATGACGTCGATGGCGAGCTTCTTGGTCGCGTAGCCGATGCCCGTCTTGTCCGCGGCGACCGAGCTCACGGCGTCCCCGGACAGGAGCGCGTAGACCTGCGACCGCAGACAGAACCGCCACCGCAAAACCTTCGACGTGCGCGAGAGCAGCAGCGTCGGCCGGCCCATGAGCCGGCCGTGCTCGCCGTCCTCGGGCCTCGCGGCCCATTTGCCCGCGGGCACGGTCCTCCCGGAGACGCGGTCGATGACGTAGACGTCCTTCAGGCCGTTGAGCGGCACGCCGATGTGCTCCGTGGCGTGGGCGACGACGATGATGTCCTCGATGTCCGCCGTGGGCAGCCAGACGGTCTTGTTGCCCAGGTTCAGCTTCGCGGGCGCCGGCGCCCCATCCGTCGGCGTCGCGGTCCGCGGAGCCGGCTCGTACTTGCGCACGAGGATGTAGTCCTCGTTGCGCCTATTTATGGGCAACAAAAGGGGTATGGTATAGGGGGGGGGCAAAACTATAGGTAAATACGAAGGGGGATATTTAAGGGGGGGAGTAAAAACCAACAAGAAAGTAAGTAATGGAGCAGGAGTTAATTTAATTTAAGTAGGGGTGAATTTTAATTTTCAGGGGAGGGAGGAGTGCTGCTAATTTTCACTGCTGCACATCATAGCATACCCGAATGGTATTTCAATCGGCGGAGCATCGTTGGAGAAGTCCGCTGGGATGCATTGGTCCCCTTCTTTCTTACAATATTCAACTTTATGTGATCCCCGAGACACGCATAAATTCGTCCCTGCTTCTGTGACCGGGATGACGATAAACCCAATTTCTTCTTCCTTACCTTTTTTGGCCTCATGGTCTGTATGCATTATCTGCTGGTCAACATTCTCCTCCGTAGCCAATACGACCTCTCCCATCGTACCTGTACCTGTGATGTTGCTTAAATTTGCATGTGTAGAAAGCTTAAGTTTAAGTTTGGCGTTCATCCATCGCCCACTTCGTTTTGCCTGCGCGGTCGTGTCCGTTCCGAAGTAAGTCGTCCATCCATTTCTCCTCTTCTTTTCCGCGAACCCCTCCTTGACCTCTGGTGCTACTGCCAAGGGACCTATTTGACTGATGTACAGTTTCAGGCAAAAGAGGAAAAACGCCGACTAAACGAGACACCGCACAATGGCCCAGCAG